TCTTGGGGTCTTCAGAGCCGTCTCTTCGAAATGTGAACACCAGCCAAGAGGATAGTGCCTGTCTGCCTGTCTCCCTGGCTTTGAGAATTGAGTGAGGTGTCTGGCTCCCAGGTATAATATCCTGCTCGTTAAAACAGTATGGGAACTGGAGATGTAGCTCAGAGGTAAAGCTACATCTTGTTAGCATGTGTGGCTTTGAGTCCCAGAATACACACAGAGACAGAGACAGAGACAGAGACAGAGACAGAGACAGAGACAGAGACAGAGAGGTGGGGGGAGTTTGAAATTTTTTGGATAAAGACAATTCACATGCATATAATGGATTATATATGCTTAGCTAGATGAATGATTTTTTTTGGGGGGGGGGGCTGGTCCAGGCTGCCTTACGGGGGAGGGGGGGTCTGGTAAGGCATGGGGAGCTGGGGATCAAAGCAGGGTCCCCTGTGCCTGACTGGGTTTGCCTCAGCAGACACTTAAACAAAACAACTGAACTAACCCGCAAGCCCCCAGTTATATGAAATAGTGGTGTTTCTTTTTTTCTTTCTTTTTTTTTAAAGTTATTTTTAGCCGATCGTTGGTGATTTCCTGTGATGGTTATTACAGTTGGTTTGATGCTTATTCCATTCTTTCCTGAATTTTGAGCACAGGTTTTACTGGGTCAGCAGGATATTTTGTTTATTTTTATAACATGGAAACAGGAGATTGTTTTTGTCTTTAATGCTATTTCTCCAATAGTTAGCAAAGATTTCAACCAAGATTGCTCTCATCTAAGGGATCTAAAGACCTGATGGGAGCTGATGCTGGCTTTCAGGATGGCTCACGCTGTGGCTGGTAGCTGTAGGCCCCTTATTGACTACTCACAGGATGCCATGGACCTGTGCGTAGAGCTCCATCCTCATAATCAGGCAGCTAGCTTCCACCAGAGGGAGCAATGAGAGGGAAGGAGAAAAGGGGAGAAGAGACCACAGTACTTTTTATGACCTAGCCTCAGCAATGACCAACTGGTAGCTCTACCACATATTTTCTTGGTGCTAGGGAGTGAACACAGGCCCTTGTACAACATAACGTACGGGCTCTACTACTGAGCCACACTCCCAGCCCTACCACATTGTTTGTTACTTAGACCAGAACATATTTAAGAGGAAAGGAATTAAGCTCCCGTTCTTAAGAGAAGTGTCAAAGTAAATTTGGGATATATTTCAAAACCACAAAATATAAGGAATGCCAAAAAAAAAAAAAAAAAAAAAAAACCCAAAAAACTGGCTAACTAATGCTGCACTGTGCCGTCCCTGCCTCTGGCCCCACTGAGCCCTCCACCAAGTCTGGGCATGGGGACACATGCTTGTAATCACAGCACTGGAGGCTGAAAATAGGAGGATCACTAAAAGTTTGAGCTGCATAGTGAGACCTTGCACCAAATACACACACACACACACACACACACACACACACACACACACACAAAGCTGGATAATTGGTGTCACCAATTCAAAAAGTATTGCACATAGTCCCTGCCCAGGAAAACTAGAAATGCTTTAAAATTTTATATCACCTATATGAAAGAAACATAACTGTTTCTTTGGGATTTCCCAATTGTGACTATGGTCTCAAAATATTTCCATATTACAAATAACAAATTGGGAAGCTGAAATAAATGTTTCCAAACTATCAAAAAAATCTTTTTTGGCGGTCTGGGGATGTAGCTCTGTTTGCCCTTGTGACCAAAACTACCCTTCCTCTTAGGGACCTCACCATGCACGTACATGGATAGAGTCCAATCAGATTCTGTGCATCCTCTCTGGTGGACACGGTATTTGCTATCCACCACAGGTTATGCCAGGGAATGTTTACCCTGATCCTAGTACCTGGCAGGTGGGCTGCAATATTCTTGAAGGTTGCCCTCTGCCAGGGATTAAGGTTGCATAGGGACAGATGGTGCCCAGATCAAGCCATCAGACCCAAGTGCAAACTCCATGTGTGAGTGTCCGTGCTGGTCTATCTAATACCCCATGCCCAACATTGTGCCTGCTTTGCCTGCTCTGTGCCCAGTAGGCCTCTTCTTCTTCATTCCAACCTTCCTGGGGCCACCTTGTGTCCATCCCTTCCAGCCGGCTCTAGGCACTCTGCAGACAAGATAGGAAGCATGAATTGTGTGCTTCAGTCACCAGCTACTGTGTACTTTACTTTAGTGATAATGGAAATTAAAAACTAAAACAACAGTATGAATTTAATTGAGAAGTAAGAGAAAAGAGTAAGGGGCTTTAGCTTAAGGAGCTGATAAAGACCAAGCTGATCCCTTAGAAAAGCAAAGCAAAGGAAGATGGGGGAAGGACTCCAGCTGGAGGTGCTGGAGAAGTACACTGTGATGAAGAAGATTAGACCGGTCCATTCGGAAAAGAATGAAGACCAGATTATGGGCTGTTGTGGCTGATTGGGGTCTGCTCAATTGATCTCTCAAGTTCCAGTTTGGAGCTGAGCGTGGGATGATGCCTCACAACTCCCTGGGCCATTTGGTTCCTGTGGGGTGATTGCTCTTGCATGGGACAGCCTCAACCTGTCTTTCAAGGCTCTGCTAGAATCCAGGTGACTTTATTTTTAGGGCTAGGAAGACTTCTAGGACTAGCTGGATGTGGTTGTAAGTCTCCTACTGTGGTGTCCTTAGTCTTGAAGGATTATGAGATAAGCTAGGTAAATTTAGGGCTCATAGACCTTGTTTTGCCAACTTTTAGACTGACTGTCTCAGTTACTGTTTTCTCATTGCTGAGACAAATACCCGACACTGAAAATGAAGGAAAGAAAGGTTTATTATTTAGCTCACAGTTCCTGGAGGTTTCAGTCCATACTCTGCTGGCTCCAAGGCAGAGTAGCACATGGCAGAGAGCAGCCTTTCATGGTGGCAGCAAAGAGCAGAGAGCAAAGGGGAGGGCAGCAGCTCAGAGAGCTAGCTAGCCTCTCTCCCCTCCTTACACTGTACTACAAATTGCCTGCCCCAGGACAGGTGCTGTATCCACACCCACAATAATTAATCACAAACTCCAAAAGCCACCCCATGACTACACGAGGCTTTGGAGGGAAACCTGTACACAAACCGTAACACTGATATTAACTAAATGACTGGTGTGCCCATAGGCAGCGCTCAGGAGGATTTGACCTAGAGTTTTACAAATCTATTTTACTTTTAGTTACCTATGAGGTATTTGTAGGCCCAACTGAAGATTCATGATTTTCAGCTAAAACCACTTTTAAGTTTCTGTCTAGCTTAGATGAAAACACAAATCATGCTTACAATGAGTAACAAGAACCCAGGAGTGTGTCTTCTGTCCACATAGTGGCCTCTGACTAAGCTGCTACCAGTGATTCCTTCATCTGAGTTAAAGGCTGTTATATTTACATTCAGAATTGATATCACCCAATATAAGTAGTAAAATGCATGATTACAACTTACAATTTTAATTTTGTTTTGGTTGTTTTTTGAGACACTCTGTAGTTCGGGCTGGCCTTGAACTCACACTGATCCTCCTGCCTTAGCCTGCCAAGTGCTAAAAATTTAACTTCTTAAATACCAAGTGAGAAACACAACAAGGGTCTGTGAGATAGCTCAGCAGACTAAGTGCCTGCTAGTCAAGTGCAGTGTCAGGTCCTCAACACCACATGCCACACCGGCTCTACCCCCAGGCATGCTGAGCCCACCACCCAGACCAGGTATGGTGGCGCATGCCTGTAATCCCCGTGCTGGGGAGGCTGAAAACAAGAGGATCACTATGAGTCTGAGCTGTTCAGTGAGACCCTGTACCAAATATATTAAAACACACACACACACACACACACAGAATGATTGCAAAAGGAAAAAGCTTTACCTTTTAAAACATTTAACATCCTTTTCCCTATTTATTTATTTATTTATTTATTTATTTATTTATTTTTGGTACCAGGGCCCAGGCCCATGGGTTGGCATGCTAGGCATGAACTTTTTTTTACTCAGGCCCTTGCTCTTGCCAGGCAAGTGTTTATTCTACTGAACCATCTCCTCAGCCCAGCATGGACTTTTTTTAAAAGTTCTTTTTGAGACATAGTCTAGCTATGTCGCTCAGGGTGACCTTCAGCGTGTGATCCTCCTGCCTCAGAATCCACAGTAGCTGAGATTATAGGCCTCAGCTGCTGCACAAGGCTCCTCTTTTTTGAAATAGTGATTCTGAGTTTTCTTTTGCACCAGACCTGCGAATTATAATTATGTATCAGGGTCTGTCTGTTAGCTTGTTCTGTTTGTGATTTCTTGTGGTCTATTTTCTCATTCTGCAGAATTGTTCACCTCCCTACCCTCATGTATGCCTTAGGCAAGAGCTCAGGGTGTAGGGCACTGCACTCCCAGAGCCCTGCTTTTTTTCAAATTTTATTCCAATACTTGAACCCAGTCTTTGCACTGAGTTTCATTATCAACACCCTTTTTTATTATCATCATGATTTTTAATGTTGAGACAGGATCTGGCTAAATTGCTGAGTTACCCAGACTGGGCTCCAATTTGGAATTCTCTTTCATCACTTTCAGAGTGCTGGGATTTCAAGCGCAAGCCACCACCCCCGGCAGGGTATTCTTGTTCTTAAAGACAACTCCCAGATTGGTAAAGTCTTGGCGCCCCACATAAACCCCATCTTCCAGGGTCCCCACAGGGTCGATCTTGAGAGATGCGACCACGGATTTTTTTTCTTACACTTCATACAATAAGCCTGTGGCGTTCTTAAGACAGGTAGTAAGACCGGAAAAAAGAAAAAGGAAATCCACAAAAGGGAGTGCCATTTCAAAAACTAAAGGAAATCGCTGGCACGGGGTTGGGGGTGGGGGGAGAGAAGCCGGAAGCTGGGCAGAAGGAAGTGAGCGAGGACTCTGGGTCTTCAGCCGAAAGCGCCACTCGGTTACCACGCGGGACACCAGGGTTTCGGCGCGTCCCCTTTAAAGGGCGTGGTCGAGGGCGTGGCCCGGCCGAGGCCCGCTCTCCCAGGCTGCCCCGCGCGCGACGGCAGTTCGGCCACGTCCCTCGGCCACGTCGCGCCGTTCTCGCCATCTTCGCCGCTTCTTCTTTGGGCCACCGCTACCTGCTGAGCTGCCCAGCCCGGGGCCGCCGCGCCGACCTCCGCTTCCATCATGAACATCTTCCGGCTGACGGGGGACCTGTCCCACCTGGCGGCCATCGTCATCCTGCTGCTAAAGATCTGGAAGACGCGCTCGTGCGCCGGTGAGCGGCCGGGCGCGGGCCCGAGAGGCTGGGATACGGAGGACCCTGCTGCCCCGAAGCCCGCGAGGGCCTGACACACCCCCCTCAGGCGGCTGCGCGGGCGCCCGGGTCCGGCTGGGCGTCCGAGCAGCGCCGGGGTGTTGCAGCGTCGGGCCCCCTCAGCCCTCGGTCCGCCGGCGAACTTGACCCGTCAGGGCGCTGGCCGGACACAGCGCGGGGCTGGGGCTGTGTGAAAAGTTTGCGGTGGGAGCTGGAGTCCTGCAGGCGTGTCTGCTCTCCCCACACCCTCCAGTCTTTCCTGGTGCTCTTCCCGGGGCGAGATCCGGTTGGGGGACTCGCAAATCAATGAGACTGGCGGGAGGAGGATGGGCAGGACCGCGGCTGCCTGGGCCTGACGTGGCAACCAGGCCACCTGGGAGGGTGGGACGCCCCGGGGTGGAAAAGGAGGTCGTTCGGATTCCCACTCTACCCTTTCAAGGGCTGAGCTGTAGAACGTTGTGTCAGGTCTGTTCCTAGAATTATGTAGTTTTTTTCCCCCAAACCGCCTGGTCTAGGAATCCGGGGAGGGGCTGTGGGAGGTCTTTAAGTTAATTTTTTAGCGCTGTTCGTGGTGCTTTGCAAAGAGAATTCTGTGAGTGCCTTATAATAACGGGTTCTCGAAAAACTGCGGGACTACCGCTGAGCACTCATGCAGTTGCCTCCTACACGTCACCAGTGAGTTGGCCCCGGCCCTCCCCATGAGGGCATGCACATTTCCAGTCAGCGTTATTGGGGGTAGTGAAACGTACCTTTTTCAGGTAATAGTTGTGGAGTTCTACATTTTCTTAACTCTAAAAACTTAAGAATTTGCGAATTTTAAAATTATTTTTTAAAGCAAGATCTCTTGGGGCCGGGGAGATGGCTCAATGGAATAAGCGCTTCCCTGGCAAGCGCAAGGGCCTGAGTTCAATCCCCGGTTCCGGAAAACAAAAAACAAAAAACAAAAAACCAAGATCTCTTTTTAAATCTTATTTTTGAAGCTATGGCCACAGTGAAATAACTAGATGAATTCAAGAACTTAATTTTAGTCAGATGTGGTGTATGCCTGTATTCTCCGCACTCCAGAGGCTGAGGCAGGGTCAGGAAAGTTCAAGGCCAACCTGGACTACATATTAAGACCCTTTCTCAAAAAAAAAAAAAAAAAAAAACTTATTTTCAGAGATAACAAGAGATGAAAATCCTAAAGAACTTCCGTGGCAGAGATTCCATTTAGTTGATTTATGTACAGAAATAACATTTAAAGTGACCCCCTGTCTTTGACTGCTGTTGGCAGGGCTCATTCACCTGTCTCCCTGGAACATAGCTGAGATCCAGGAAGTCAGCAAAACCAAAAAAGACCTTTGAGCAGTCAAAATGGATTACAAAGTCCATGTATTGAAACCAGTGTGTCAGACTTGAAGGTGATCTCTCAATTTTTGAGAGTTCTGGGAGGCTTAAATGTATGATTTCCCCTGACAGTCACTTAATTGCAGCAATTCCAATAGTTAACATTTAAGCACTTGCTGTCTTAAATAGTCAGCTAAGTGCAGTCCTTGAAATAATCTTATGAAGTAGGTGCTATTGTCCCTATTCTGAGAAGGAAGGAATTGATTGTCAGGGAGTGAGCAAAGTGGTAATAGAGCCAAGATTTAAAATCTGTAATTGACAAAGATTTTAAAGAAATGTCTGCTTTATCTTAATTTTAGCTTGAATGTTTGGTGCCATTGTTAGGTCTTTTTTCCACTTAGATATGTTTTTTTTTTTTTTTTTTTTTTTTTTTTTTGGAAAAAGATAACCTTTTTTGTTTTTTTTTTTTTTTTTTTTTATTACTTGTTTGTTTATTGTGCTGGTGGGCCTTCACACTGAGCTGCATCACTAGCCCTTTTGGTTTTTATTTTGAGATGGGGTCAAGTCTTAGTGACTTCAATTTGCAATCCTCCTTCAACCTCCCACAGTGCTGGGATTACAGGTATGAACCTACACACCTATATCAGGTATTACTTTTTAAATCTATAGGTTTTCTTTTCAAGTCTTTCTTTCTTAAAATTTCTCCATATCCCCCCTGGCAGGTAATTAAGAGTTACAGTGTGTTATCTTTTAGACTTGTATCTTAGTGTGAGAACATGTTTGGGAGAACTAGTATAATTGAAGAAAATAGAATCCTAAGGGAACTTTGAATAACAAGGAAAAAGGAAAGGTTTTTGTTTTTTTTAAATATTCACTGTTTCCATTTGGAGACTCACTAAGAAAATATAAAGACTTCAACTAAAATGCTAAGAAGATAAATAGGTGAGTTAAGTTTGTATTTCCCAAGTATTCATTAGGGATTTTTAAACTATTGTCATTCTCAAATTAGGATGATTTTCATTCTGGTACAGGATTTTTCCTGGCTTGTAAAAAAATAAAAATCATCAAGATCATTTATTCAGAATTAAATGATAAATTTGACCAGCTGTACTGTGTTTCCATTCTAAATTATAAAAGTTGTTTAGAGGCTTTTGAAAGAGTAAGAACTTGATAAGAGTTTCTCAAATAACTGGAATAGGAGACATGTACATCCAGGTTGTGTGTCTCATCTTGAAAATGCTAGTATTGAGGTTCATTTCAAGATTTTAGTACCTGTGTTGAATAGGCTTGCAGCCTGAGAACCATAGTCCTTTTTTTTCCCTAAATGTGAGGAATGAGGGAGAATAATGAGGAACTGGAGATTATTTTCCTGAAAGTCTTAATTCCACAACAGATACCATTATGGACCTGTTTTAAAGTGAAGCTTGTGTGTTGATCTTATTTTAATCTTCATTCTCTTGTGCGTGTATCTGCCATTATCACTGCAGAGGGGTACCAAAAAAAGAAGTGTAAATGTCTCCTGAACTACCATTGCAGCTTGATCATCCATAGTAGGCTCAAGTTGTCACTCTTTTTCTTAAGCCCTGGCATGGTTAACTCCGGGGCAACAAGCTATGGTTTGTAGATGAAGTGCTTCCTATGTATAGTTTTTCTGGAGGCTTAAGTGCTATCTGCTGAGTTTAAGTGACTAGTGGAGTCTTCTAGAATCCATGACCTCCATGTTCCCCTGGACTGTCTCCTCTTCTAGGTGGTGTTATTCAGGCTGTACACTACTCAATCTACTCAACAACGTAACAGACATGACAAGAGCAAACTATCTCAGTGTTTCACATAATTGGATAGTTTGTATCTTTGAAGTAAATGGAAAACACTTCATCTTTGTTATACTGAGCGCTTCTAAATGCTTTCACATCATGTTCCCAGCTGTCTTGCTTCTGTCCACTTTCATGCCAGTCTCTTTATTTATTTATTTATTTTTGGCGCAACCAGGGATTGAACTCCGGCCCTTGCACTTGCCAGGGAAGCACTTATTCCACTGAGCCATCTCCCCGTCCCCTATGACAGTTTCTTGAGTAACTCTTGTTCTCAGGCATTTATTCACTATCCACTGTGTCAAAAACATAGAGATATAATTGAGAGCGGCAGCTGGGAATAATTAAGTTTTCTGCTCTCAAGAAAGCTGCAGTGATATAATGTATATTTAGCATATGCAAGACCATAGGCCTTATCCCCATCATTGAAGAGAAAAAAAAAAAATCAGTTGAAATAGCAAGGCATACATGAAAAGATAAAATTATGCCCGGGGTGGTAGAATTTGCCTGTAATCCCAGCTACTCAGGAGCTTGAGGTAAGATGATCAGGACATCAAGGACAGCCTGGGCAACTTAGCAAGACCTAGAAGTGGAAAATAAATTCTGTGGGTATAACACAGAAAGAAAGATCACAGTGATGTTGCCTTTGACCTCCAAGGAGTATATAAGGCCTCTGCAAGTAAACGTAATAAACTGAGAACTAATCTATAGCATATGTGACAGGTTAATTTCCATAATGGAGTCTTCCTACAAAGGAAAACAACATGACAGAAAAGTGTACAAAGTTGGCATTTTACAGAAGAGTAATAAAAGACCATTTAAGCATGATAGAATATCCAGCTTTACTAGAAGTTTGGTATTTATATATTAAAATGGCACCACCATAGCCTTATTTGCTCACTGAAAAGGACAAAGTTTTTTTTTTTTTCAGAAACAGGGATTGAACTCAGGTGCTTGTGCTTACCAGGCAGGTGCTTATTCTACTGAGCCATCTCCCTGGCCCCAGAACAAAGTTTTTAAAAGAGGTTTATAATCCACAATATAGGCAGGTGTCTATAGAGAAAAGGGCATTACCATCTGATATTGATGGATATGAAAGTTTACACAACCTTTCTAGGATAAATTTGGCAATATTTATCAAAATTTAAAATGTTCATGACTTGTCCCAACAATTCTAGGGAATCAATTATAGAATTATCACATATGAACATATATGGATATAAAATATCACTGTACAAAACACTACACAGAGACAGAGATGTTTATGCAGACGTTACAATCAAATTTATAAGTAACCCAAATCCATTAATGAAATAGGTGCACAAATTTTGGTTTGTCTGCACTATGGAACGCTATGTGGCCATTATAAAGAATGAGCCACAGCTAGGGCCTGTTAGTAGCAGGGAAAGATGGGTCTGAGGTGTTATGTTTGCAAAGTAAGTTGTAAAGCATAAGTTTGGCCTCACTTTAAAGGGTTAAATGTATGCGCTACACACACAAACACATGCACTAGTAAAGGGGCTTTAGCTGGGTGTAGTGGTACACACCTATAATTTTAATGTATACTCTGGAAGGCTGAGGCAGGAGAATCTTGAGTTTGAGCCTAGCCTGGGCAACTTACTGACTTAGCAAGACCCTCTTAAAATAAAAAAAGGCTAAGGATGTAGTTCTGTATGAAGGCCCTGGGTACTATCCCCAGAACTGGGGGAAAAGAAAAACTAAAAAGTCTTGGGAAGTAGTACATGCCTGTAATCCCAGAGCTGGATAGGCTGAGACAGAACAATCACTACAAGTCTGAGCTGTGTACTGAGACCCTGTACCAAATAAATAAATAAATATTTTTTTAAAAGGCTTGGGAAGATATGCATAAAGTGGAGTTTTTGAAAGGGCTGTTGGGAATGCCTTTTCACTTTCCATTCCATATTTTTCAGCTCACTTAAATTTTTTTAAATAATTAGCATAAAAATAAATAAGCATGGATTTAAGAAATGTGAAAAAAATGACAAAGCAGTATATAGTAAGCTGTCCTTTCTCAGACATTCACACTGGCTGGTGTAGTATAAAGCACTTGAATCTTTTCTCTTTTCATCAAAGTTTGTATAATTTGTCCCACTTGAAAGATGCAAAAAATGGGCAAGGGCAGATATAATGGGTCCCAGCTCCCCCTGTGCCTCACTGACTTTGTACCCCGATCCTCTGTGTCCAAAACTTCATTTTTCCTGTCACTTTCTACAGTAGGGAGAAGCTCCTTATTATAGGGCAGTTCTTAATCATCCAGCTGTAGATTTCAGGGAAAAGTCATGGATTTAGGGAAGGAGATCCAGCTGTTCTGAGACTGGGTAGGAGCAACTGCTGCCATGTGCTCTTTGCTTGTGGCCTCATGAGCCTGTAGTACTTGATTGTATCCCTGCTGTTATGGGAGAAAATCCTTGAACTCTCATGGTTGGTTGAGGAACCTGTTCTGTGAACCAGTAGGAATGTAAGAAATGCAACTTAACCTGTGTATTCAAATGCATAGTTGTGGATTTTTATAAACTTCACTTACCCCATGGGAAGAAGTAAGACAATGTTAAGTTTAATAAATTATTTCCTTAATGTCATAGTAAATTAAGTGATACTGATATTAAGTGATATTAATATCACTTAGTAGCAAGTGATACTCCTTAATATGGATATTTGGTGCTTTTGGTATTGGAACATCAGTTTTTGAAATGTTTGCAGTGAGTATTCTGTTAGTGCTTGTTACCTGATAGCCTTAGTGTGTTTTGGTTTAAAAAGAGAAAGGTAGTTGATGGAGATGTAGCTCAGTGGTAGAGCATTTGCCCAGCATGCATGAGGCCTGGATTCATTCCCCCGAACCAAACCCAGAAAAATAAAAACAGGGAGGTAGCCATTCTGGCTTAGTAGGAGAGATTCTGTACCAAGTCCAAGTGATTCTTGTCCCTGCCCTTCCTTCAGCTGAGATCCCTGCATTCCTGGGAAGGAAGGAATATTTTATTTATTTATTTATTTATTTTTGTATTTTAGGGAAGGGTCTACAGGGTGTTCAGGGTCTCACTACTAGATTGGACTCAGTGATCCATCTGTTTACAGCTTCCCAAGAGCTGGGATTACAGGCAGATGCCACCACGCCCAGTCTCAATTGCTGTCTCAGCGCACCCTAGGGGCGGGGCTGGCTCAGCAGGCCCTGGGACTGAACCCCTGACCCCTGCCTACTTGCAGGCACTTTAATCCACTGAACTATTTGACCAGCCCTAGGAATATTTGCTGTTTTAAGGAAAAAGCCATTATTTGCTAATTTGGATCCAAGCCAGGGAGAAGTGTGAAGGAACTAAGCACCCTCCCATTCCCAGCTGATCATTCTACACTATGGGACATCCTGCCTGTTCTTCTCACTGTCCTGTGGTAAACCCAGGGCTTTCTCACCCTCTAGCTGCTATTAAATTAGGCAGAGCCAGACAACTGTCTATTTATAGACACACACACACACACACACACACACACACACACACACACACAATAGGACCAGGAGATTCTTTAGCAGTGTTATCCCAAAATACCACACTGAGAATTTGCTCTGTGACATGAAGATAAAGTGAACCCCACTTTCTTTTGTCCTTGTGTTCATTCATTCAGTGACTATTTTCTGGACCCTGCTGTGTGTCAAGCCATTGCCCAGCACAGGCTGTGGAATAAGGACAACCTCTGCCTTTAGAGATCTCTGTGTCAGGTAGGGGTTTGGAGGAGGGAGCCGCAGGGACCAGATTTTTGTAAGGCTGTACGAGGAGCTAGAGCAGCAGCCAGCATGGAGAGTTCCGATTATGTGACTGCTGAATGCATCAATAGCGCCAAGAGCCTATCACAGAGAAGACCTAGGGTTTCTAAGAGGGATGATCAGGGCATTATATGATGGTCTTTGCTGTTTTGTATATGAATGCTGAAAATAAGGACAAAAATCTGCCTGACTTCCAAAACTGTCCTTCATGACAAAATTTGCCCAAATTAGAAATTTTTCTCAGGGCATCAAAAGTATGTGAACTATCTGCTCCCTTGCTTTCTTTCCTCGTCTGGGCTCTCATCAGCTTTTAGCATCTGCTTCATTGTTTTTTGTG